GATTTTTTAGTTTTTATTAAAATACTTATAGGCTAATTTTTATTTGGCTGCTTGGCGACCCAGAGCTTCGTTTTGGGGTGCTTGGTACTGCAGGTCTATTTTGGCAAAATCTCCTCGAGCCTCTATTTTACATGTTTTTAGGAAAGCAAATACAATAGCACATCGTTTAGCACATGAGTTATAGGTAACAATTTTTATTTTGTTCACCCTGTGGTAAATGTATATTACGTACTCTTGTAGATACATTATCCTATGGTGTAGGTATATTGTTCTACTACCTATTTGCATAGGTACATATGTGTTTTTTCATATTTTCGACAATGTATAATAATATTTTATTTACCTTTTTTTTTATAGGTAACATATAGGTTTTATTTGTCTATTTTTGTGTCTAACTTATCGGTAGTCTTTTAATTTATATTCCTAACTTATAGGTAGTCTTTTAATTTATGTTCATGACTTATAGGTAACACGATTTATCACTAAGTTTTTTCATGGGTACTAGCCTGAATAATTGGTATAATATGTGGGTTTTTACTTTCATTAATTAAATTGTATTTTATCCATAAATTAGGTAAATATTATCAAGGAAAGAATTCAAAATTTAAAATCTGAAATTCAATTACAAGGAAATAATGCATTAAATTTAGATTTTCAATGTATTTTCCTTATTTATCCTAATGGGTAAAATCGACACAACAAAAAATTAATAAAAGTTAAAGGACCTACATCTAAAACGCGTGGACTCAACCCAATGATAGCTACTCGTTTTGGACCTATATCTAAGAAAGTTGATATGTATCCAAATTTTGAGGAAGGAGTTGGGTTTAATCCTCGGATTTGGTGGCTTTGATCCAAGTCCTTTGACTTTTGTGCCATATAGAATTACATTCATTTTTTAATATTTAATTATGTAATCTTTTTATTATTTTATTTTTAAAATCATTTTTTTTGTTCCAATGTTGCCCTTATGACTAGAATTAGGTAATAGTTATTTATGTCATATTGCCAATTGCCTATTGCCTATTGCACATGTGTATATATATATATATATGTGTGTGTGTGTGTTTCATATTTTCGACAATGTATAATAGTATTTTATGTACCTTTTTTCATAGGTAACATACAATTTTATTTTGTCTATTTTTGTATTTGACTTATAGGTAATCTTCTAAGTATTTTTCATTGCTAATAATAACACTATTTACATGTACGTTAGGTACATAATTTAATGTGGGTGCTTATCTGATCGATTGGTATAATATGTGGTTCTTTGCTTTTTATTGATTAAATTGTATTTTATCCATATATTAGGAATATTATCACAGAAAAAATTCAAAATTTAAATTCTAGAATTCAATTAAAAGGAAATTGTCACGCCCCGGACCCGGGGGTAGATGGAAACCCCGTGCCGGGTGCGTGAGAAAATAAAAATTAAAATAAAATAAAAAGAAGCGGAAACATTGGTTTAAAACAAACTTCTCTTATAAAAATGTCTCCAAAATCTTACAACTTTACAAGAAATAAGTAAAGCTCTTATACTCTCTAATTCAACCTCAACTGGTTTAGTCCTTGTCTTTCTCACTAATTCTTCTGAAAAATTAAACATGGTGAGGGATGAGCAACCACAGCTCTTATACTCTCTAATTCTCCAAAATTATACCGCTGATTTCCTAGTCTACTGTGCACACGGGCTCGCCTGGACTTCGTCCCTACAATGGTCAGACTCAACTACACAAAAGATCCTTCCCATTACCCTTTTTTCCATAATTATTTTCTCAATCCAACAACTCCGACCAATTACCATGACATGATATAATTATGCCAACATTATTCAAATAGTTCACAATACATAAATATCTCATATCAAGAACATTATACAATATCACACATAATATAGAGCTCACGAAATTTAATTAGATCAATCCCCGTAAAGGCCTTCAAGAAATCCCTATCTCGATTCCAAAGCATTGCTCCAATTTAAGAAAATACAAGCTAAGCCCTCTCTCTCTCTCTCGATTCATTTGCTATGCACAGAATGTCTTATATATATAGAGAATATGTCGGCAGTGACTCCCTTCTTATTGGATGGTGTTTGGCGGTTTACAAATACTTACTATCCAAGTCATATTCAAGTGGTGGTCTAGCTTTGCAGATAAGGTAGTTCCCAATTCCTCCAATCCTATACAACCTTTCTTGGTGAATTGACAGAGCTAGTATATAGTTATGCTTACTAAGCATTTGTTTTTCTTTGACACATACTACACTAACAATGACTAAGCATATCCATATATAATAGAATAGGATATTTATGTAATACACACATATATAATATAATATAATATAATATATAAATTAAATGGCAAAATATTCAATCTTTCAACTATATAATTTTATAAATACGGGGTTTCACAGAAATAATGCATTAAATTTAGATTTTCAATGAGTTTTCCTTATTTACCTCAAAGGGTAAAATCGACACAACAAAAAAAGTAATAAATGTCAAATGACCTACATCTAAAACAAAAAACACGAGGACTAAACCTAATAAGAGCTAATCGTTTTGGACCTAGATCTAAGAAGCCTTTAATTAAATGCCAAAGTAACAAGTCCCAAAGAATCATTGAGCATACAAAAAACAAAAATTTTTGTTTTTCTTATTTTAATATGGTGAACTAAAATATTAGTTGCCTTCTTTTTATTGGCTGGGATTATGTGAAAGACTACTTATTAATAGGTGCAAAAATATGAACGGAATTTGCAATGTAGTTTCTATTTATGTAGAATTGGTTATGCATGTGTTATCATTTGGGTTTTAGTAGGCCTGGGCTCGGTTTGGGTTGGTTTGGTTTTGAGCTTAACCCAAACACCAAACCGTAGGCTTCGGTTTGGCTATTTTGAAAACCGAAACCAAACCATAATTGATGAAAACCGACCACTTCGGTTAACCAGACTTGGTGGTTTGGTTTGGTTCGGTTTCCGTTTTTTGGCTTTCTTAGAGAGAGAGAGAGAGAGAGAGAGAGAGAGAGAGAGAGAGAGAAGAAATAAAAGCGATGGAGAGGAGAAGAAGAAAAAAAAGAGAGGGAGAGATGGAGAAGAAGAAGAAGAAGAGGAGAAAAAGAAAAGAGAGAGAAGAAGAAGAAGAAGAATGAAAAAAGAAGAAGAGGGAGACGGGAAGAGGGAGTGAAGATAGATAAAAGAAGAATGAGAAAAAAAATAGAGAGAGATGGACTAATGAAGACAAAACAAACGGAGAGATTGAGATAGAAGAAAAAGAAAAGATTGAAACTATGTATTATATATATATATATATTTCTTATAATAAATATAATATTTTTAATATCTTCGGTTTGGTTTGGTTAAATCGTGGTTTTGAATATTGCAAACCGTACACCAAACCATATATTTCGGTTTAGTTTGGGTTCAAATCAATGACCAAAAAAAATTTAAAAAAAAACCAAACCAACCCAACCCATCGGTTTGGTTTGTGCAGTTTGACTGGGTTACCGATTTGAATGCCCAGCCCTAGGTTTTAGTATGAAGTCTTACAATTCTCCTTTTAATTGGTACATCTCTGTAAATTTATTGGTTCTGCATTGAACTTTTGGTTTTTTTTTTGGGTTATAACATTCATGTTGCGGACTCATATGTGCTCCATTGCCTTTGGTAGCTTTTTATGTAACTTTCATTTGTGTTGGCTTTTGAATTTTTTTATTTTAATTTTTTTTTGTTACTGACATTTCTTTGGGGCCATTTTTATCTCAACAAGGTTATCACTAATGTACTGTGTCAATGTAGAAACAATATCTGCAATGCAGTGTATAATGTGCATGTCAGATAGAGTGGCAAGATTATAAATGACAATGTTGTGTGTATGTTGGATTATTGTTAATTTATAGTTTGTGCAATGTAGTGTGTCTCGTGAAATATGATTTAGCAAAATCATTAACCTGCAATGCAGTTTCTAGTGTGTAATTGACATATAGTGTGATTGAGTGTATGTGAAATCCATGTATTTTTGTTGAAAGGCATAAAAACCCAAAAGAATACAAATGTTAGTCCTTTTTTTTTTCTTTTTTTTTTGCAATTTATGTTTTTGTTGTGTTTTTGTTATAGTTATAAATGATTGAAGTTTTTATTTTTGTTTTACGTCATTGATATCTACATTGTTTTGTTTTAGAGTAATAGTTAATTGTTGTTTGTGTATAACTCTAGAGTATGATGGATTCGGAACAAATTGTGCGTGAATCGATGTTGAAATGAAAATTTTTTTCACAAAAAACCTTTGATTGTTAATATAAACATTGTGTTACATAATAAATATTGAAAAGCAAGATTCGTGCAGTGGTTTGTGATTGACATTGTATGTACATTATTATAAAATTACACCCTACTTTTTGGTCATTGTCCTCATCCAGATTAGATGAAATTGGTTTACTGTCTTTCACAATATTAAATTCTATAATGACTATAAACCAAAGCTCTTTAATTTTTATGTGAAAATTAAAAAAGAAAATTTTAAAAAGGCCCACAGACTATCTTCTTCTTTTTTAATTTTTTTTATCGAATCATAGTCCCCTCTTTCCTCCTTTCCTCCTTATCCTCTTTCTTTTTCTTTTTCTTTTTCTTTTTTTATCGAAACCTAACGATTTGGAATTCAAAAAGTCCCAAAACATAATTCGCTTAAAGTAGAAGTTTAATTGCTTGGGGTGTCTCTTTCCCTTTTTTATCTCTCTGGGTTAATTATCTGTCAAATATGATTTCCTTGAATAATGTTTTTGGTTAGATGCTCTGGATAAAGCAATACAAAAATTTTGTTTTTTTTTTTTTTTTTTTTTTTTTTTTTTTTTTTTTCCTTTTCGTTTCGTTTTTTGTTATTTTTTTTTAGATAATATTTTTTGATTTTTTATTCGTGTATATATTTGAAATTAAGATGATCAACTGATATACTTCACCTCTCTACTCCAAACTTGCCTGCCAATCTCCCTCCCAGTGTTTCCATGGCCGCAGAAAACATGCCAACAATACTGATTCCAATCAAGCTCACGAGTGATATATATAACTATCGAGAGTGGAAGTTTTTCTCTCTTTCATATTTTCACCACCACCATCTTTCTGGAATCATTGACGGAACAGAGCCTCCTCCTGATCTGCAATCCCAATCGCCTGAATTTATTAAATGGTGGAGAAGAGATCAAGAGGCTTTAAACTGGCTGAAAGCCACTCTATCTGATGGTCTCCGACAACGTGTCATGGTCACAGCCGACTCTGCACGAAAGGTCTGGCTCAATCTGGAGGCACACTTTGCCGGTCTCGTTCACACTGACATCCATAGGATCAAATATCATCTGCACAAAGTGAGGAAAGATGTCACTATGTCAATGGCTGACTATCTCAAACAAATCAAAGAGCTGGCGGAGATGCTTGCAGATGCTGGTGCTCCTGTGGAAGATCGCGACCTTCTTCATCTACACATCCTGCCGGGATTGCCAGAGGAGTATAATCCCTTTCGTGCTTGGATAAACAACAATCCTCTAATAAGTTTTTGGGATGAGTTTCAAGACTTACTGTTGAAGGAGGAAGTACATCTGGATGAACAGAGCAGAAGTGCTGCCATAAATCATTATCAGGATGGCCGAGAAGAAGACCATGCCATTGGGATCGATCTGGGAACAACGTATTCCCGAGTAGCCGTGTGGCAGAAGGATCATGTGGAAATCATACTGAATGATCACGGGAACAGGAAGACTGCATCTTATGTTGCCGCCGCAGAAACTGATGAGACTGTTTTGGTAGGCGATGCAGCATTTAACCAAGTCGTCAGAAACACCGCCAACTCAATTTTTGGTATGTAGGATTAAAATGATCAATTACTACTATAATTGTTGTCTAGTGTTTTCTTTTTATTCTCTTCTCTTGTCTTGACTTATATTTCTTTGGTTATAACTTGTCAATCTAAATAAGCAACATGGAATTTGTCAATTTACAGATACAAAGAGGTTAATCGGTAGGAGATTCAGTGACACCTCTGTTCAAAGTGATGTGAAGCTCTGGCCATTCAAGGTCATTGAAAGCCCAGGTGACAAGCCCCTGATTTTGGTTACCCACAATGGCCTAGAGAAACAATGTTATGCTGAAGATATCACAGCCATGGTTCTTGATAAGATGCGGAAGATTGCCGAGAACTACCTGGGCTCAACCGTGAAAAGTGCAGTTATCACTGTCCCTGCTTACTTCAGTGACTCACAGCGTCAGGCAACAAAAGCTGCTGGTCTTTCTGCAGGCCTAAATGTGATGCGTATTATGAACGAACCGAGCGCTGCCGCCATTTCTTTTGGCCTTTACAAGAAGGCCGGGTGGAGTAGCCCGCGAAACGTGATGATATTTGATTTGGGTGGTGGCACTTTAGATGTGTCCTTGCTTACCATGAGCACTTCTGGTGACTTTCAAGTCAAGGCAACGGCTGGAGACACTCACCTTGGCGGCCAAGACTTTGATAACAGATTGGTGAACTACTGTGCTAAGAAATTCAAGAGGAAGCATAAATTGGACGTTAGTGGAAACAAGAGAGCTCTTAGGAGGTTAAAAAATGAATGTGAGAAGGCAAAGAAGAGACTCTCATTTGAGTCTGACATTGACGTTGAAATTGACTGTTTGTGTGAGAATATTGATTTCACAATAACTTTTACTCGTGCCATATTTGAACAAGTAAACATGGATTTATTCATCAAGTGTATGGATCCTGTGAAAAAGTGTTTGGCATATGCAAAAATGGACATAAACGGTGTCGATGATGTTCTTCTTGTGGGCGGCTCTTCTAGAATTCCAATGGTGCAGCAGCTATTACAGAAGTTTTTCAAGGGGAAGGAGCTGTGCAAGGGCGTCAATCCAGATGAGGCAGTGGCGTCTGGTGCCGCTATTCAAGCCGCGGCCTTGAGTGGGAATGGAAAGGGGAAGTTTATTCAAGACTTCACTCTCAAGGATGTCACTCCTCTGCCGCTTGTTATGGAGGGTACAGATGTTAAATGTTTGAAAAAATTAATGATATTGATTCCAAGAGCCACTATAACTCCCGTGAGGAAGTGCATAGAATTTTGTACCGTTAAGGACAACCAGGTTTTGATTGACTTCCGCATATATGAAGGTGAGAGTAGCATACCAGGAAATCTCAACTTTTTGGCTGAATGCAGCCTCCCTGGCATTCCTCCAGCTCCCAAACATGTTCATATATTCCATGTTTTCTTCGAAATTGATGCCGACGGTATCTTGAGTGTCTCTGCTGTCAATAAGTCCACTGGCCAGAAGTATGAGATGATAATCAACCGAGACAGGCCGAAGAACTTTGAGGGAGATGAGACTTAAGAAATGATAATCGATGCCATGCTAAATATATTGTAAAATCAATTTGATATATCTTTACTGGTTTACTTGTACCAGGTTATATTGTTTGAAATCATATATTTGTGATATACTTAAGAAATGATAACGCTGAAATAGCAGCATATATTATAAATACCAGCATGACAGTTGCCATGTGCACTGTGGATCTCGTTTGAGCCACTATATTTTGCTTTGCCATCTTTTTCCCTTTCGCTATGTGCATAGTTTTATCAAGCAGCCACGTTCAATTAAAACCCCCCATCTCTATATGTGTATCTTCAAGTTTCTCACCTGAGATGTTAAGATGGCAGAGGTGACGGTAATGAGACACAAACTGAAATGATTCCAAAGATGAGCTTTCAATGGTGATATTTTCTGTTCAAACATCATTAAGCTGTAATTGTTTAATGCATTTGCAGGAACTTGGGATCCATTTGGAGAACCCATCATCTATTCTGACACCACTCAGGGTTTAGTGTTGGAGATTAGTGGAACCAGGGAAGGAGGGCACTTTAAGTCTTGTATATACTTTCACCAATAGACACCTAAAAGATCCACAAAGAAAGATGCAAGATGGCAATTCCATCATATCCATATATGTTTTAATTATATGTAGCTGAAGATCACGCACTTCAACATTACACCTTACTGCAATGCGGATCCATGTGATTGCCCGGAACATCTCATCACAGACGCTTGAACATAGATCCAAACGTATACGAAAGTTTTGTATCTTATTATCCTCACGATGAACCAAGAACTGATCAAAAGAATTCAACATGTGTTTAATTGCTCCTGCTTGTCTGAATTACAATGACCAAAAATCCAATGACGGGGAGATAAAGCCCTCTGAATCTTATGGACACACTACCTACTTGAATGAGTTTTTTAAAATTGAAAAATGAAAGAATTTGATGAGCAACCTCATCTGGAAGATTACTAAACCTGCCAATTATACTCTCAGGGCAAGGTACATGAGATTGAGAACTCGCAGTAGCCAATAACTTATGCTTGTGTTCCATAACACTAAGATTTCCTTTTGTTTTGGTAAGAGCACCTTACACCCTGCAAAGATGAAGGTCATGAAAACAAAATTATGAAAATAATATGAGTATGAAACTAGCATAACCAACCAACACTATGAGTCTACTACCATTTCGCCACTTGAAATCTCTAATCTGGATATAATTGTGTTTATGTTTAAGTGGATTTTTGGGTTTCTTTGATGGATTCTAAGGAGACAAACGTGCCAAATTACTTTTGGGTTTCAATATTAAAGACAACTTTGTAAGAATCATAAACATAAAGAAAAGGCTCTATTTCTGCCACTAATCCCTGGTTAACCGAACCAGAATATATATGGCGATTACAGAAAACAAAAGTCTGAAAGTTTGCAGCGTTCTCATCAGTCAATGGAATTCCAAATCCTCCATTATTGCCAACTAATTACAGAAAACAAAACCAAAGGTAAGAAAAAGAGATAATGGGCTTACCCAAAACAGATTCACCGTGAAATGCCACTGTTTGAAACCTGAGGTGGCAGCCGCACGCTGAAGAAAAACCCATTGACAATTTCTCGAAAACCCTAGTAACAGTGGAAAGAAAGAACAAAGCTAGAAAGGGAAATGAAAAGAAGCGGAGGGTTTTTCTTGTGTTTTTCGTTAATCCCGCCAAATTAAAAGGCAAGAGGGAAAACCGTATCAGGGATTTTTCTTTGGGAGTTTCACTAATACACCCAAAATAGGGGCTGAAATTATAAAAAAAAACCCCACATGAAAAAAACTTTATAAACACACTCAAAACCCATTTATTAAACACACTCAAAACTCATTTATAAACACACCCAAAAAATATACAATTGTTGATTTTTGGGTTTATTTTGGGTGTGTTTCTATGTTTTAAATAGTGTTTGGTATATTTATAATTTCATGTCTAGGATTGAGTGTTTCACTAATTTTGTAGTTTTCTTTTTTCTTTTCTTTCTATCGAGAACCACATCACTGATTAATCTAATTAGAGAGAAAAAACTGTAATCTTGAGTATAATTATTAGAAAATGGGGATTTTTATAGGAATGTCCCTGAAATTTACACTTCAGTTTCAATTTGTTACTTTAAAGAAAAATTTAAGCGAAATGTCACCTTAATTTTTCAAAATCCATGACTATAACACCATCCAATTTTCCATCCATTTAAAGGGCATTTTGGTCTTTTTCATTTTCAAAGAACAAAAAAACAAGAGAAAAAAGAGACCTATCTCCCTATCTCCCCCACCCGACCCCAAAACACATTGCACAGGACCACTCCCCTCCCCCCCTCCATGTATAAATTTTTTTATGATGTTCATTGAGCATGTCTAAAATTTTCAAATACCTGATTTAAAACTACTTAAGCTTCTCACTCAAAATCCAACCCCTTTCTTGTTTAAAAGATATACAATTTTTTTTTAAGGAATGATTTTTCCATTTTTATAAGGAATTATTGTTTTTGTAGCTTTTTTAAAATAAAATAAAAATGTTAATGGCTGTTTTTGCTTAAACTTCATTCGTTTTTTTACCCCCAAGATTACAACTTTCCACAACAACACTACAGAAAATAGAGATATTTAGTCATATACTCATTCTTAGCACTAAAACTATAAACAAACCCTACACAATTTAATTTTTATAAACATACCCAAAAAATGACAACTGGGACCTATTGAATTTAATTTTGATTATTAAATTACTTTGATATTCTATTGAGTGTTTTGGGTTTTTTTAATGAGATTTTGGGGTTGGGTTTGTTTTAAGAAATCAATGGCAGTTTTGTAATTTAAAAGAAGTTAAAAGCCTTTTTGTTATGTTGTAAATAAGCTTTTGGTGGGTTTCTAAAGTCCATTTCATATAGGGTTTTTTTTTAAAATTTAGGTTCCTATATTGGGTATAATAGTGAATCTCTCTAGAAAATATTGTGAAAAATAAAATTTGGTCTTGCTCCTGTCTTCTTTCTTGTTTAGGTTGGGCACCCCTTTGGGCCTTTACATATGGGTTTTTTGTTCGAATGGTTTAGTCTTGTTTTAATGAAAAATTACTTGGAGACCTTACGCATTGTTTTATGTGTTTTTTAAATTCAACCCTCGAGCAATTTAATGTTGTAATTAAAGATTTAAAATCGTATGAAGGCTTGAGTTTAGATCACAAATCAATGAAACAATTGAGATTTTACTTGGTATAGTCCCACGTGTAAGTCTTTTTCACCAAGCAGTGCAGTGGCTTGGTGTGCACTTGCGTTCTTTTTTTGTTCAAAGGTGTGTAATTGCTTGGCTTTGTTGTTGTTTACTTTACGCTTAATTACACTAATGTCCCATGAAACTCCGGTCAAATTTTACTTTATCTCCAAAGTCAAAATAACCCACTTTGTCTTTGCTATCAACTTCATTCAAAAGTCTGTTAACTGTGATGACGTGGTAAGGGAATTTTTGTAATTTCGTACACATGGATCATTATTCACAAATTAAGTAGGTGATGTGGCAAGTGGAGCTCACCTCCACATAGATAAAAACAATTTTTTTTGTTAAAATTGAGCTATATATATGCGCTATTTTAGGAGCTCTCCATAAAATTTTAACTCCAATTCTACTATCTAGTTTAGGGAGTCATAAATGCTATAACTCTTATTTAATTGGTTCATCTCTATAAAAAAAAATTAATATACAAAATAGTTAATTAAAGGTTTATAATACTCATAAAATAAAGCAGCATTAAATTATAGGGAGCGACTAGAAATTCTTTCTCTCTCCTTAGATTTAGGAGCTCATATAGAGGTCTCCCTATTTTAGGAGGTGGATAGGGAGCATGGTTGGAGTTGTATTTTTCCAAATCCTCCCTAAAATCTAAAGTGGTGATTTAGGGAGCCCATTGTGGATGCTCTTGGAGCATCCACAATGATGCTTTCTATTTCTTAGCTAAAATTTAGCTAAAAATATAAGAAAGCTATTTTAGGAGCTCTTTAAAAAATTTCAACTCCAACCAGACTCCCTAATTTGGAGAGTCATAAATATTATAACTCTATTTTGATTGGTCCATTTCTATTAAAAAAATAAAACAAAAAATAGTTAGCATTAAATAAAGGTTTGAAATACTCATTAAATAAAGCAGCATTAAATTATAGGGAGCCACTAGGAATCATTTCTCTCTCCTCATATTTAAGAGCTCCTAGAGGACTCCCTATTTTAGGAGGTGGATAGGGAGCATGGTTGGAGTTGCATTTTTACAATTCCTCTTTAAAATTTGTCTAAGGAGGTGGTTTAGGGAGCCCATTGTGGATGCTCTTACCCTTTGGCTGAAGAAAGAAATAAAATAATGGAGAAGAAGATAAGAAGAAAGGAATAAAAGACCTTGAAGCAACAAACGTATGATAAAGATCCGAAGAAAGGAATTATCTCATTTCGAAATCTAAAAAAGTAAATGTGCTTTGTTTAGTGAACTGGGGCAAAGCATCAACTATTGCGTAAGCATTGGTTTATTAGACTTTTCACTTTCTCCGTGTATAAATTTTCTTCCACTGGTTTCTGCACTCATTTAATATTTCCTTGTTAATCTTTGACATTCCTCTTGGAGCTTTTGAGCCAATCGAGAAAATTAGTAATGGCAGAATATAATGCAATTGGGATTGATCTGGGGACAACTTATTCGTGTGTGGCAACGTGGCAGGCTGATCATGTAGAAATCCTGGTGAACAATCACGGTAACAGGACAACTCGATCTTATGTTACATTCACTGATAGCAAGACGTTGGTAGGTGATGAAGCATTTCGCCAAGTCGTGAGATTCCCCACCAACGCAATCTTTGGTAAGAATAAAATGATCAACAGTATAATTGTTCATTGTTTCCTTGTTAATTTCGTTAGAACTGAGAAATATATACTGTGTTTTTTTTAGAGCAATTCTGTAAAAGTGGGGTATTATACTATTATGCATAAATCCATAAATTAACTTGTTTCCTGACATAATCTAAACGGGAATGATTACAGATGCGAAGCGGTTAATTGGTAGGAGATTCAGTGACGAAACTGTTCAAAGTGATATCAAGCGCTGGCCATTCAAGGTCATTGAAGGTAAGGGTGACAAGCCCATGATTGTGGTTAAGCACAAGGGCCAAGAGAAACAGTTTGCTGCTGAAGATATCTCATCAATGGTTCTGGCAAAAATGCGGGAGATTGCGGAGGACTTCCTTTGCTCAAAGATTAGTGAGAAAAAGGCAGTTATCACTGTCCCCTCTTACTTCAATGACTCTCAGCGCCAGGCTACATTAAAAGCTGGTAAATTAGCCGGCTTAAATGTGCTGCGTATTATCAACGAACCAACTGCTGCAGCCATAGCTTATGGCATCGACAAGAAAGCCGGTTGGTTTAATAAGAGAAACGTGATGATATTTGATTGGGGTGGTGGTACATTGGATGTGTCGCTACTAACAATAGGCCGTGGTGTCTTTGACGTGAAGGCGACTGCCGGAGACACTCACCTCGGAGGTGAAGACTTGGATAACAGAATGGTGGATTACTGCGTCGACGAATTCAAGACAAAAAATAAGGTGGACATTTGTGGACACCCCAGAGCTCTTCGGAAGGCCAAAACCGAGTGTGAGAAAGCAAAGAAGGCACTTTCATTTTGCTCTGACGTTGATATTGAAATCGACTCTTGGTATAACGGTGAAGATTTTCATACAACTTTCACCCGGGACAAATTCGAAGAAATGAACATGGATATCTTCAACAAGTGCATGGAGATTGTGAAAAGGTGTTTGAAGGATGGCAATATGAACATAAGCAACGTCGATGACGTTGTTCTTGTTGGTGGTTCTTCTAGAATCCCCAAGGTGCAAGAGCTATTGCAGAAGTTTTTCATGGGCAAGGAGTTGTGCAAGAGCATTAATCCTGATGAGGCCGTGGCATATGGAGCCGCTGTTCAAGCTGCAGTCTTGAGTGGGAACGTGACGGGGAAGCTTCAAGACTTCACACTCTCGGATGTCATCCCAATGTCACTTGGGACGGAATGTGGTTGTGAAGACCGTATGGCCGTCATGATCCCAAGAAACACCAAAATTCCCACAAAGAAGCACCAAATTTTCACTACCGTCAGTGACAACCAAACGAAAGTCCTCTGTGGAGTTTTCGAGGGAGAGAATGAGTTCACCAGAGATAATAATTACTTGGGTGGATTTACCATGTATGGCATTCCTCCAGCCCCTAAGGGAGTTGGTAAAGTAGATGTTTGCTTTTCTATCGATGCAAATGGAATTCTGAGTGTTTCCGCTGAGGTCATGTCCACCGGCGAAAAGAAAGCCATTACAATCAACAGTGACAGATGAACTTTCGGAATCAACAGTGACAGTGTCGGCTGGTCCGTCTACCTGTGCGTGGATTTTATTCTTGTTTTCAATAAGAGAAAAGAGGTGCTTGCTTAATTACTGTAACTATGAAGAAATACATTATATATGTTTTATTTGATTGGAGTTCAACTTTAAGTTGTTTGTTTGGAAACATCATTTTGTAAAATCTTGTCCTAAAAAACTAATAATACCAATTAATTACACCAACTTTTTGACACAAGCAAGAACCAGTTGAGGGGAGAATAGTTTTGATTTGCAGACCAATTGTCTCAGGTTCGAATGAAAAATTGTCTTGGTGTTAAAAATGTAATAAGTTGGTGCCTCTATTATTACTGAATAACATGTAAACTATAGTATCCAGTATCTCAAACTAGGAAGCATCACAACCGAACAATAAGCTAATTAAATGAGACGCCAACTTGCCCTCTATTCCAAATCTATGAGTACATCTCTCTTACTTCAACTAATACCTACACAAGGCAAAGGTAGACGAAGAAACAAGCCCACAAGTTAAAGGAAATGAAATCATTAAACCTTATCAATGGACCTAGGTAAATATCATTATCTCTCAAAATCCAGCCCATAATAAATTACATTTATTTTTTTTATTTTTTTTATAAATTGAGTTTTGTAGAAAATGTACTAGGGAGACCAACTTTAGATACCAATTTGTGTACCAACTCTCTAGTAGAGCGTGGGACCCATTGTATTGGTGGGCTCCACCTATATTAGAGAGTTTGTACACAAGTTGGTATCTAAAGTTGGTCTCTCTAGCATGCAAAAAGAAAAAAATTGTACGATTCATGAGTCCGTTGATTATTCCCATGGGTTAGAAAATGGCCACATATATAGTGTACTTTTGTTCTAATCTGTTATGACTCAAGTGCAAGGTGTCTCGATTTCATGGTTGTACAATGAAATTTGGGTAAAAAGTAAAAAGGTAAGTCAGAAAGATAGGAAAATGGCGCAGATACAAGAAACTATTAAATTACTTTTTACTCATTCAAGTAAAACTTCAAATTTTTATATCATATTGTGTATCACATCTTTAATAGAGATATAACCTACTGAATAATGCTACTCTTACCACATTTGTGTACTGCATTCATATACCACCTTATGTAGCAGATGAGATAAACAACCACATCAATTAAAATTATTTAACATTTTCTTTTCTTTTATGATTTATTAACACTTAAAAAAAAACTGTTAATTAAACTTTCCTTTATTTAATACACTTCATTAATTTAATTGATGTGACATATGATATAGACATGCTACATCATGTGGTATAGAAATGTGGGATAAAAATGTGATAAGTGTAGCATTACTCATCCAATTTTAACCTTAATTAACTTCTTATTTTTTCTTTTTTTTTGTGAAAATTGAAAAGGGGTCCACAGCCTATATTCTTTTTTTTTCTTTTTCTTTACTTATCCTTTTTTGACACAACTCGCCCCGAATTCCTCGGCGGAGTCTCCCCTGAAAAATGGACATTTTCCAAATTTCTCAACTTGTTAAAACACAATTAATATATCCCAACAGGCAGCATACACAAGGTAATAACATGCAATTTACGTAATAGGCCTTCGGCCTTCAAATAATTCGAAATGGATCTCAAACCCGTCAGAACCACATACACTATTTAATTAAATCCATTCAAGTAATAACTGAGAAATAAACAAGCATTTAGTCTCGCTCAAGTTTAAATCGGCTTCAGGCGTACCAACATATTCAAAATCGAACCCAACGGTAATATTAAATAGGGTTCAAATCCACTAACCACATCAAAATCCACTCACATACTCAGAATTGGTCAAACCTTTTAAATATAGTTTATTTCGCGGCTGCAGGTGAGACCCCAAGCTACCTACGTACCCCTTGGTGAGGGATCAAGCCCCATGTAGTTCTTACAATCCATAATCACAAACCACATAATATACAATTATTTTCAATAATACCAACAAGTTAATTCTTTTAAACATTAATCTATTCCCAATATAGTATAAAAATCCATTTTTCCTCTCTTTGTTACTTTACTACATGCCGGAGAGTCCAACACCACACGTAGTAAAGTAGTAGTAACCAAAGTGTACGGATCCTTTACCACACGCCGAAAAATCCAAAGCCCAAGTTTACTACTAGCAGTTAAAGACCCTAACAAACTTAGAAATAGATAGCTTGCGCGCCAAGTTTACTGACTCTAAACAAATGATTGTGAATTTGAGTGAGGAATATCTCCCAAGTAAGTTATTTTCCTGCCTCAGACTGGTGAGGACTTCACAATTTTTCACAGTAAAGAATGGTAGTTCTGGTCAGAATGAATATTGAATGAAATCGAACTGTTTTAAGCAGAACTGCCTATTACACGACTTAAAAGACAACTGCCACGTCCAAAAAGGACAACAGAACGTTGGGCTTCGATTTCTGCTTGGGTAGTTGCCTTTGAGTCATGCTGGATTGAACATGTCTATGCTGGATTCGAACATTAGCACCTTCAACTGATGGGTTTCAGCTGAAAATCGATACCAATGTTTGAGATTGGCAGAGCTTTAATCTTTTTGAGCCATGGAGAGGCTTGTTGAATTGATAGAATTGAGGCCTCTTCAATCTGTACAGGGCTAAAAGTGGCTGGATTGATGACTGCTAGACTGGAGCTGCACTATAGCACCTATTTTGCTTGATCAAGGCATCTCCACAAATTTGTTGAGGTTTTCATATTGTAAAAATCCAGATCCTGCTTGATTTGGTCTATGCTGAACCAAATTTGTAACAAGAGAAGTTTTGTTTCCTTTGTGAATTGTTTCTTTGAATTGGAGTGACCTAAGTTCTGTCTGTTCTGCGTGGGGGTTGCATGAATTTTCAAACTAAATGGCTTGATTGCTCTAGAGTCTAAAGGCTTTTGAGATTTGAATGACTTTATTCTTTTGAATTTGTCAATATAACTTGAGAGTTTTTGTCTTGATTGATTTTTTGGTAGTGTGTGTGAAATTTAGGCCCAAAAAAAAGGCTAGAAAGCTCATATGTCGACCCCAGAGATGGCTGGTGGGCGACCTCTGCGTGCAGACCAAGTGCTCGAAATTCGAAAAAATGCAGTAATGAAATTGTCAACATTTGTCGACAGTTCTTGGTAGGAAAAGCATGACACGCACTACTCTTTTTATCAAATCGTCTGGCCAAAACGCGTCGTTTTGAGACATATCTTTAACATAAAAATAAAAAAACATTTTGTGGCTACCCCTCCACTAATAGAAATCCTATAAGGTAGGTGGGAAGAGGGTAATAAGTGGTGCTTTCATCGTTTGCCCCAATGATGGCCTTCCTACAACTACCGAGGCCGACATTTCCCACCCCAAAAATTCAAATTCCTTATTTATCTTCCCCCAATTACCTTGGCTGCCTCTGCTTCGAGTGCGATCACAGTTCCCTTCTCCAACGGTCACAACTTCTCTTTTTTAACTAAATCGCTTCCATTTCTTTATGGGAAGTTTTAATGTTTTGTCCCATTGGATGATTTTTTAACAGGGTTTTTTTTTGTTTTAGCATTTTGATTTTTGAACATCTATAGATTTTTGGTTCTATTCTAGAAATTTATCAACCAATTTATTGTTTGAGTTCATTGAGATTTGGGATTTTGTTGTAGGTGGTGAATCCACACAAGACAATTGTCAGATTAATTCATTAGGGCTTTGTGTTTTGATTCATTTATTAGGGATTAGTGTTTTGATTAATTGATTAAGAATGAAGGTATTATAGTTTAATTTTTTGGTGTTATTTTCATCTTAAACAAATTTCGTAACTTTTACACCACAACCCCATGACCCGACAAACCCGGATCCATGGATCTGGCACTGGACCCATACCTGCTGACTTATCGAAATTCGAAAGCTACAAATGTCAGCTTCTTGACCGACTCCTTTAGAGAACAGAGCGTGATGTGAAAGACTACATGGAAGCCATAAGAGCATTGGAGAAAGAAGCAAGAAGTTGCTATAATACACAAAACACAGAAACATCTCTAGGCTATTGACAAGTCTTTCTAACAGCATTAAAAACTACATTATTACAATATTTGGGTTCTATCATAATCGATAAATACAGCCGTTGCATCCATTGGCATCCAGAATAAGGTTTTGAAGTTATACCACACACAAATTCTTCAAAAAAATCTTCAACCTTCATTTTCCCCCCCTTTTCATTTCCTTTGTTTTTCCTGAAAGACAACTCGGGTAGTGGCAACAGAATTCATCTTACTTTCATTTACCACTCGAATATGAGTTGATTGCTGGGGTGAATAAAGTAAGACCATTTCCTTCAAGTTCTTAGCATCCTCAAGCATATATCTTGCTAGCTCCAGTTCATTGTTCCCATTAGAAAGCTCTATTGTTGCTTCCTTAAGCTGATCAATAAAAGCCAAGTTTTGAGATTTCCAGAATTCCTTATTAAATCCACACGCCTGGAAAGGAAACAAGCAAATCAATAAAATAAAAAATTATAGAGATCAAATGTTACTCTCAGAACTGCACTACCTACTTATGATGATTATCCCTTCTGCAGAATAGGGTTATACATCGCTCAGGATACAATAATTTAAGCTCTAAAAATTTCTCAGAGCACAACTATTTTTAGTTTTTTTGACCCAGATCAATACACTCCTCATTTGAGCGTTGTGGACGTGTGTGTGTGTGTGTGTGTGTGTGTGTGTGTGTGAGAGAGAGAGAGAGAGAGAGAGAGAGAGAGAGAGAGAGGGGGGTAACAGACTTGAACTCTTACTTCAGGTTTATGGATGAATAAGGAAGTGTCAGACTCTATGTACAAAGTTTTCAAATTGGGCATTCCTCTCAGAAGAGAGACCATTGCCGGGACTATGTCATCATCCAAGCTCTCAATATGCATACCCAGGTAAGAAATATCATCAAACGGTGTAGACACAGGACCTTCCCTCAACAGAGCCTGCAATATTATATAGACGAGAGGCAAACTCTTAAATGAAACAAGTGTGAGCACCCAGAACACTATAATGAAAAAAGATTCACACAATTGAGCTAATTGCAATCAATTTCAATAATCTACATAATGATCATTAGTAAAAAAGTTATTATTATTTTATACTTTCGGTTATGTTCGCCTTCTGTTTTTTAACCAAAGAGGAGATGGGAGCAAAGTGGGAAATCAAAAAAATAAAACAATCTTAAATGGTTTTAAAAAAATCATTTTAGTTCCATCTATTCTCCTCCTTTCTGCCTCCCACCTGTCAACTCCCTCAATCCTTTCACTCCTTAAGACATAAAAAATAAAGTATCAAATGACCCTTTTTTAATTTCCAATTTTGTATTTTTTGCAGATTGATAAGTTCATGCATTGATTTCAAATAAAACTTGCAGCACCAATATGAAATATCATCCATGTAATACCATCACTCGGTTGTGAAACAACTTTTAAGTTTACGAAACATAAATTAGCCATCCCTATTATTGCCACGCTGTAGAATCATAGCGAAGATACATTCCCTGCAATATCCTTCAAAAGATTCCAGAAAATACATAATCTAGCATAAGTTCATATTGCAAGGCATCATGTTTTTGCTACAAGAGAGTTTCTATCTGAATTTTTACCTTGGTCATCTCTCCACTTAGAATAAGGACTTTAGCCCTGCATACACTGCAAAGAACCTCAAGTACATTGCTGAAGTCATTGTTATCTACCCCATGCTTCAGAAAAATCTCAGCCTTCTCTAAACACGTTAGTTTCCCCAGATTTTGGTTATTCAACAAATTCCCAATCCATTTCAAATATTTAAGATTTGGAGCAAAAACTTTGAAGGATCTGCTGCTAGTAGAAGCAAATCTCCACTCTATATGTACGTCTTCAAGTTTCTCACAAGAGATATTAAGATGACAGAGGCCACAATAAGAGGGAAACACAAAACTAAAAGATTCCAACGACGAGCTTTCCATGGTGATATTTTCTACTTCAACATGTTCAAGATGCAATTCCTTAATGCATTTGCAAGAACACGAGATCCATTTGCAAAGCCCCTCATCTACTGTAACATTTGTCAACTTTAAGTACTGGAGATTAGTGGAACTAACCAAGGAGGGCGCTGTAAGAATTTTATTGCAGTGCACTGATAGAGACCTCAAAGATCCACAAAGAAAGATGCAAGATGGCAACTCTAGCTTCGTCGTATCAGGTATCCTCAACTCAAGATCAAGCACTTCAACATTACACCTTACTGCCATATGGATCCACGTGACTACTCGGTAAAGCTCGTTATAGAGACTTGCAGCTTTTCCGTAACTGAGATCCCAACAAATACGAAAGCAGTGTATCTTATTCTCCCTACGACGAACCAAGAACCTATCCAAAGAACTCAACAACTTGAATTGCTTAGAATAAGAGGATTTATTCCAGTTGTTAAATTCATCAAAATTCAATGAGGGCGTTGACAGATAAAGTTCTCTGCACTTTTTGGATAAAGTGCCGAAACGAGTGAGATCCAATATAGAAACTGATGAAAGAATTTGATGAGCAACTTCGTTGGGCAGATCACTAAATCTATCTTTCATATGGTCAGGACAAGCTCCTTGAGCCTGAGAACTTGTAGTTGCCAATAACTTGCGCTTAGGTTCCATGATACTTGTTGTCCTTTTGTTTTTGCAATAGCACCTTACACCTACTAAGATACAGGACACGAAAATACTACGTAAATATATGACATGGACAGTACAAAACCCATGACCGTTAAATCTCTATATGCTTCATTAATAGAAGATTCAAAACAACAACAAAAAATTGCCATAAATTAGAAAACAACCTACAGACCATTTGTTAAAATTTATTCAATATCAAAAAGTTAAATCTTTTTGTAAAATGATATATATATATATATATATATCTGTTTTATAAATGACGGCATTATGTGCAACCAACCCTTTTAAAGCGTCCTGTAGGTTAACAAAACCAGAAAATGCTCTGTGAAAGTTTGCATCTTTTCCTCTTAATAGAATTCAAAATCTTCCAAAGTTATCAATTACCAACGAAAAAAATTGTAGAGTAAAAGAAAAAGACCTAAGCTAGCAGCAATAAATGGTCTTTACCTAAAGTTTATTGAAGACGAAAGCCTCTGTTCCAATCTTGGAGACGAAGACACGAGCAGTACTGAAAGAGCTTCAGATGGTGAAAGCTGAATTTCAAGAAGGAAAAAGAGACATTGGAATCAGCAAGGGCATAGAATTGGGGGTTTAACGATCCGAAATTAACCCATACCTGATAAGGCTACCGATCTGGTAGCTGTGAAACGGAGATTGTGGCCGGCAAGTCCCCATTTTCGTCTAATTTTGGTGTTGCTCAAATCAAAAGAACTTTGTTTTTGTTAATAAATATGATAATTTTATCCTTTTCATATTAAAACTAATTTATTCCAAATGTGTTGATTTAAAAAATATATATACAAATTCATTTTCTTATTTTCATTTTCACAAAAACCTTTTATGAAAACTGATTTTAAAAAGGGACCTCTTTGACGTGAGAATCTTTCTTCTTCTTTTTTTCACGATGTGCTTACACACTAGCCTACCCTTCTCCGAAAGCTCTTTGTCTAATCTTAGACTAAAGGTACGGCATTCCTTTTTTATTGTTTTTCTTTTGGCCGTGCAATATTGAGTAATGTTTCATTTGTTAATAAGACAATTAATGACTAAAAATTTGATTTTTTTTTTCCGAATATTAGGGAATCGTTTGGCGCTTTGGATTGGATAAACCACTAAATCTTAGATATATTGAAGGAGAAAATAAAGATAGAAGTGAATGATTTTTCATTTTTGGAGGATTAGGAGGAATTAGTTATAAAGTGTTGTTATCCTACCATTTTGTGGGGATTAAATGAGATAAGTTTTCTTCATGCATAATCTATCTTATACCTTTAACTTGGTCAAAAAAAATCCATTTTTAACTTAAACATGCTTTAAATATAGAGAGTTATCCAATCCAATCCAATAGCACCAAATGAACCATAGGATTATTGTTTGAGGAAAAGGTTTTATCCTTTAGCTCTTGCAAGTGGCAACTAGTCAATTTGTAGGCATTGCCACCCACAAAATATATGCTCAAAGGTGATCATGATTAGGTAAAATCTCAAATAACTTATCAAATTTGCTATAGAGTATATAGACTCACAAACCAAGGAAATGTATCATGATTAGGTAAAATCTCATCCGTCCAATAGAAATGTCAAACTGCATCGATCAACATAAAACTAAGGTTTCAGTGCTATTACACAAATAAATAAACCTCTCCTTGTCTTCATTTCTGTCTTTCCCTTCTTGATTGCGAGGAGATTTAAACCACTTGAGATAATGCTCAAGGGGAATAAGAGGGCTTTGGCCTTCTGGGTCTTTTCTTAAAGACAATTGTTGCAGGGGACTTCATCTCAATTTCATTGACTGCTTCAATTCGAGTTGATTGATGGGGTAAATAAACTATAACCATTTTCTTCAAATTCTTAGCACCCTCCAAAATATACCTTGCAAACTCCAACTCATTACTCCCACTGGAAAGCTCAACAGTTACCTCCTCAAGCTGATCAATGATAGCCAAGTTTTGGGATTTCCAGTATTCACGATCAAATCTGCTTGCCTGAAAAAAGTAACAAGAAAATCCATTGAGAATTTATTTTAGAAGGGGTTTTAACTTTAATGGTCCTTGAATTTGTACCAATTTCACTTTTATCCTCCAATTCAATTTTTACTTTATAGCGTCCTCCAATACCAATTGTGTCACTAGAGTGATAATTTGGTCCTTCCATCAATATGGCATCAATTTAAAATGTAGAATCGTCAATTCATGTACGCATTAACAAAAAAAAACAACCTATCCATCTGACGGTCATATTGATGAAATTTGACGAAATTACCAAATTGTCACACGTGACACAATTGGAGGATGCTAAATCTAAGTTAGAAGACTAAAATGAAAATCAAGTACAAGGTGAGACACTATTGCAATTTTATAAATAAAAAAACCCTTCTTAGAAAACTCCAAGAAATAATTTTCGAAATATATATAAAGAAAGTATATATAGCTTCCAGTGATAAACAAACACTTTTACTTACAGTAATAACTTCAACATGTTTGGTGAACAAGAGGGGTATAATTGGCTCATACTTCATGTGAAAAGTACTCAGATGACGCATCCCTCTAAGAAGAGAGGCCAATGCTGGAACTAGGCCATCATTCAAACATGTACTCTGTATACAGATGTGACCAAGATTATCAAATATTCTTGGCAGAGATCGTCGTTCCTTGGTTAGAGCCTGCAATGAAATAAAGCCATCATTTATATTAACAGAAAAATAAAGTTGAACAAAATGTATATACAAAACAAACAAAAAAGGAAGGAAAAAAAAACTTAATATTACCTTTGTGGTCTCTTCATTTAGAACAAGAAGTTTAACACTGTGGATACTGGAAAGCACACTGAATAGTTTGCTGAAATCCTCACTCCTAGGGTGGAGAAAAATCTCAGCTTTTTCTAGACACATCAATTTCTCCAGATATTGGCGGCTCGCCAAAGTTCCAATCCATTTCAAGTGTTTAAGATTCGGAGCGAAAATGCTTATCGAGTGACCGGTTGGGATAACTTTCCAGTCAATGTAGATGTCTTCAAGCTTTTCACCTGAGATGTTAAGATGAAAGTTGCCATTGGGGTTTTGAAAACTATAATAAGCATAGCACGAAACGAAATGCAGGGTTTTCAGAGATGAGCTGCTGATGGTGATCTGTTTTGCCCCGTGAACAAGCTCAAGCCACAGTTCCTTGATGCATTTGCAGGAACACGAGATCCATTGGCCCAACCCCTCGTCTATGGTGACATTTTTCAACTTCAAGCATTGGAGGGTGGTGGAACTAGTTAAGGATGGGGTTTGAAAAAGCTTAAACTTCAAATCCACTGTTAGTAACCGCAAAGATCGACAGAGAAAGAGGCAAGATGGCAATACTAACGTCGTTGTCGCCTCACACATGTAGAGTTCCAGATCAAGCACTTCGACATTGCACCTTGCAGCAACATGGATCCAAGAGATGACTCGAAAATACTCGTTAGAGAAGCTTGAAGCTGGACCTAAAAAGATCCAAAAAATACGGAAGTGTTGGATCTTATTGTCCCCTCGTTGGATCAGGAACCTGTCCAAATAATTCAACAACTTCAACCTCTCCCACATGTCGTTTGCGTAGGGCATTGCATCAAAGTTCAACGAGGGAAATGAGAGATAAAACTTTCTGCAACTTTTGGATACACAGCTCACTCGAGCGAGGTCTATTTGAGCGAGGAAGGAGAGAACGTGGTGAGCAACTCCTTCTGGAAGATTACTAAATCTGTCTATTAAACTCTCAGGACAAACTCCTTCAGCTTGAGACGTTGAAGTTGCCAAGAACTTGTTCTTGTAGGGCTCCATGATATCTGCTTGGTTCCTTTTGGCTTTTGTAATAGCAACTTACACCTACAAGGATTAACGGCATTAAAGAAAAAAACAGTTGTGTAAACATATGACATCAACAATACCAAGCCAACAACTATTAATCCCGACATAATTCTTTTTAAAGAGAGATATATCAAAACGGTAATATTTAGCCAATCCGCATCCAGTCCAATATAGATTGGATTACATAGTTTACAATCTAATCCAATTCAATCAAACATTAACAACCAATCCAATCCAATTTGACAGATGTTGGATTGGATGGTTTGAAAGATGAAACCAATTTTGTAAAATCTAATTTCAATCACACATTTTAATAGATGCAAATGAAAAAAGTTAAATGCTAATAAAAAGTATTTTGGTAATTTACTTCACAAAGAAAACTTTAGATCATTTTTGACAAAACCCAAAAGGGATCGCAAGTGGGATAAACTCTTATTGCAATATGACAAAAACCCAAAGTACAAGTCGGCCCAACCTTCATTGCGATTCAAAGATTCAAACCGCTCATTTCTTAGGTTATCATATGTAAGGATAATCACTACGAAAATCAACCCAAAAGAAACTATTTAATCATCTAACCATGAACAAATAAATAAGCACAATGATCTCAATAAACATTGAAATGTTCATATGGTCAAACAATTTCCGTTTTGCTAATTTTTTTACATTATATAATTCTTCAATAGGTATCTAAAACATAGACTATTTGAATAATTGAATTGCATTGTGGAGTGACCCAAACCGTGTGATCCCTTTTGACTCTCATCAAAAGGATCCCTTGCAAGAATGAGACTTTTACTTAACATAATGTCACCAAATGACTAAAACTATTCAAATTTATTTAATTTCAAATACTTATAAGAGCAAAAGACATGAAACTAACTAGATTGGACTCAATTGAATTCTCACAAGCAACCCATCATCTGACCCGATCATGTCACCTTATAAATGTAGGAACCTAATCCGATCTGCCAAAGTTATCGAAACTTATCAAAATCAGACTGGATTGGATTTGATCGATCAGTTTGGGCAGATTCAATTGGATTTGGACAAACCCTAAATGAAATTCCAAATCTTCCAATATTACCAAGAAAAAATTGCAACACAAAATTTATGAAATCAAGTGAAAAAAATAAAGCAAAACTAATCTGCTAGTGATATATGGGCTTACCCAAAGGTTATTCAAACCTAAATGCCTCAGTTCGAACCGACGATATACAAGAACACCATGAAAATTATGGTCAAAAAGTCTCGAAGGAGGAAAATAAAACCCTAAATGACGAGGATGGATGAGAAAATGAGTCAGGATTATGATAGGTAAGGGTTCGATTCCTTCTAATCTAACTAAACAAAAAGAAAACTGATAAGGTAAAATGGTGAAAGAGGAATGTAATTATTTAGAAAAAATAAAGAGGGAAAGTGCTTTAATAGTTTTTTAATTAAATAATGTCTTTTTATTTTCTATATCTTCTTAGAAAAGTCCAAGAATAGAGTAACCCAATGCATTCACCCGTTACAGAAGTGGAGTTGGACCGCACTAGCGCTCAACATTTCAAATTGCAAACCGATCAAAGCATCCAATGCCGGTTTGGTTTGGTGCAGTTTATTATTATTATTATTATTATTATTATTATTATTTCAATTTTTTATGTTAAATCAGACCAAATTGGCTAGCTCGATATGATCCATGGTTCGAAAAATGTCAAATTGAAATTCACCTAAACTGAACCGATTGGCATAAATATTAGATATGGGTAAATTCACTTTATTACCCGCAAGTTTCCCGAAATTTACACTTTACTACCCAAAGTTTTTTGTGTGTCAACTTCGTACTCAAAATTGATTTTCCTACCACTTTCATACATCCGTTAGTTAGACTATCAAATCTTCATAACGTGACAATTAATAGGTCCATGTGGACTCACCATATTGTGCCACATAGATTAAAAAAAATCATTAATAAATAAACTAATGAAAAATAAAAAATTAAATCATGAATATGTAATTACTTAAAAGAATAAAAGTTTCTCTCTCTCTCTCTCTACCCCACCACCCTTCTCCTCTCTCTCTTTCTCTCTCTTCTTCTATTTTCTCCTGATTCATGCCACGCATGTCGCCACTCTCTCTCTCTCTCTCTCTCTCTCTCTGTTTACCCCACCACCATACCTCTCCCTCTTCCCCGAGCAACACTTCAAGGCCAAATACCTAAGCCGCACCAGGCACCCCACCTCGACATCCCCAGTCAAACCAAACCCAATACCGTCGCCTCGCCACCATTGATAATGACAGAGAACTCAGGGAATTTACAGAGAAAGCGGAGAAGAAATAGAAGAAAGAGAGAAAACCACCATGACTAGTCGACAAGATCTTGAAATCATGGGTTTTCTTGGGGATCATCATGGGTCTTCTTGGGGATCTTGATGTATTCTGACTAGATCCATGTTGTATGATCTCAAAGTGGTAGGAACCATTGTTCGATAATGGCATAGGTTGTACGATCTCAAAGTGGGTACGTTTTGGAAATTTGGGTTGTTGATTTGTAAAAGATCATAGCTGGACTTGATGGGGTCTGAAAATTTGTGGGGTGGAGTTCGGGTCGAAGCCGAGCCAGATTGGATGGAATTAGTGGCTATCTCTGTGGGGTTGAGGTGGAGGTTGTTGTCGAAGAAAGAGAGGAGGGAAGATAGAAGGAGGGAGAGAGAATAGGAGCGGGCGGGTAAGTTTGTGGTTGTCGAAGAAAGAAGGGGGCGGGTCAGGTTTTTTTTTCCCCCTTAGTTTTTTAAATATTTTTTCCTTAGTTATATAATAAAAAAATTTCAAAATATGGGTGAGGCCATTTGGACCCATTAATTGTCACGTCATAGTTTAACAGAAGAATTGATAGTCAGACTAACGGATGTATGAAAGTGGTAGAAAAATCAAATTTTGAGTACGAAGTTGACACGAAAAAAACCTTTAAGTAGTAAAGTGTAAATTTTGGTAAACTTGCGGGTAGTAAAGTGAAATTTACCCATTAGATATTTACAAAACCTAGAGGCAAGGGGATTCAATACTCAAACCTCCAACCTTTACTTCCAATCCACCCCACTGTTGTAATAACCCGATCCTAAATTAATATTTAATTATTAATTTATTCAACTACAAGACAATTTTACCTCGGGAATATTTTAATGGGTTCAAAAATTGACTTTTTATTCGGAAAAGAATGTGAGGATTTTAATAGTACTATTGTGTATAGCATGTTGAGATGAGTTTGTAGACACGTAGTGGGCTCAAATCGGAGTTATAACGAAGAATTCATGATCTACGGAAGCCTAGTGGCATAACCGTAAATATTTCAAAGTTCAGTTTTGAACAACCCCGATTTTTTATCTCTCTCTCTTTGGCAGCATGAACAGACAACTTCATATGGAGATATCTCCTCCGTCTGACCACCAAAACTGGTGCCACAACTTGCAAACTCTTCATCTCTCTCTCCTCTTTCCAGACATACCCTTATCTAGCCTTGATTATGTGGGGGCTTTTTCGTTCCGATAGCTACTGTAGGTCTAGGCTGCTGTAAAAAGTCAAATGTGTGAAAATTACCCCTTGGTCTGAGTTCAAGAATCAGACCCCAAGAAAGCTTCGAAAAGGTAACTAAGCTTTAGGAAGCACCTTAGTTACTTCACCAGCAAAACTAACAGCCGCTTACAGATAAATTCTTAACTTGGCATGAGAGGCTTGTGACATGGAAATAAAGCAATCATGAGTTTAGCATTAAAGAGAGAGAGAGAGAGAGCCATGAGTTCCTATGAGAAACAGGGGTTCTAAGGAGAAGGGGAAGGGATTCTAAGTGGGTTTGTTGAAGAGAGAGAGAGGATGAGGGTATATTGGGTGTGTTGAATAGTTTCCGGCAGCTCGACGAAAACTCTGTCAAGCTTTGGAATAGTTTACCAAAAGGGAAAATGGGGAGAGATGGAAGGATGTGGCTCGAAATTGCAGAGGTTTTAGAGATGAGAGATAAAGCTTGCTCTCCATATGTGTGTTGTAGCTAATGGTGAAATATTGAGTGTTTTTGGTAATTTTCCAGCAGCTTGACTGTCAAGCTTTACAATGACTTACTAGAAGAGAAAATGGAAAGAGATGGAGGAATGGGGCTCGAAATTGTAAAGTTTCAGAGATGAGAGATGAAGCTTGCTCTCTAGATGTAGGTTGAGATGATGGGTAGGAAATGCTTCTTTTTATAGGCGCTGGAAGCTCTTTCTTCCCAAGAAACCCTAATGGTTTCTATCCCATTTGGCCAAGTCTTTCCTCTCCTTTCTCTTTTCTTCCCTTCCTTTGACTCATCCTATTTGGTGAAATTCTCTCTGCCCAATCACACAACAACAGGGTTTGGAGAGCTCTAGGCTTTTCCCGCAACTGTTCCAGTAGGGAACTCCCATTTTCAGCCATCCTTCTTCCTTCTTTTCTCCCCTCTTCTATGGCTAGATCTGATGGGGGAAAAGAAATGCGTATGTACACTGGTTTGAAGGGTGTTTTGCTCAAGTATCCCTTGGTTTTTCTTATGGCTTGCGTTGGGTTTGTCTTTGGCCATGTGCTAAAGTCTCCCAGCAGCCTGAGCGTACAAACATCTCTTGGTTTTCTTTCGTGGTTTTGTTTCAAACCATGTGCTTGAGATTTTTAGATATTTTCTAAGCCACTTGGGCCATTTGGGCTATTTTCTCTCTTTTTATTATGCTCACCCACATATTTAGACTCAAGAAATGGGCTTGAGTCTTGAGGCTCCCAAACAATCCAAGACTTCCATTTCTCGCCCAATCAATGGGCCTTATGAAAACTCGTAACCATCCATACCACAACCCGCTCAGCAAGCCCCAGGCATTCATGTGGCTTGGGTCCACTTAAGCTTGTAGCGTGACGTATTGCTTATTTGCTTGGCGTGGCACGTGTACAAGCTTATATGATGAACTCTTGTGTACCCAAATTGGGTTTCT